ATGAGATTGGCACAGGATAGAGCACGGTTTAGGGCTGTTATACATAGGGTCGCTGTGAGTCGCAAACGACTCGACGGCACATAACAACAAAACAACAAGCTACATGTCCAAAGTATGAAAGATGAAACACTCTGGCTGCACTCCCCAAGACATGTTTGTCATTTTGGCAGTCGATGGGATATTTAGGCATCAATTCTTCTTCTTCTTCATTCCTTATTCACTGTCCAGCTCTCTGATGCATAGCAGGTGATTGAGAAGACCATGGCCTAGATCAGGAGAACCTGAGTCTTTAAACTGACATCATTGCTCTTGAGCATTTTGGAGAACTCCTTAACAGTGGACTTTCCCAATGCAATACATCTCCTGATTTCCTGACTCTTGGTACAAAGGGTGTTTACTGTTGATCCAAAAAAGATGAAATCATTGTAGCTTCAATTCTTTCTCCATCTATCATAATGTTAACTTTTAATCCTGTAGAGAGGATCTTTGTTTTCTTGGTGTTAAGATGGCTGTAGACCTTGATCTTCTGCTGCAAGCATTTCATATCCTCCTCACTTTCAGCAAGCAAAGTTGTGTCATCAGCGTAACACAGATTGTTTATGAGCCTTTCTCCAATCCTGATGCCACATTCTTTACACAGTCTGGCTTCATGAATTATTTGCTCATCTTACAGAGAATATGTATGGAGAAAGGATTTAACCTTGATGTACACCATTCCTGATTTTAAACCAACCAAGTGTTCCCTTGCTCCGTTCAGACAACAGCTTCCTGGTCTAGGTATAGATATAGCATGAGCAAAATTAAGTGTTCTAAGATTCCTATTTCTCTCAGTGTTAGCCATTATTTGTTACTATTCACTCAGTCAAATGCCTTTGCATGGTGGCTTAGAGGTAAGGAATTATGCTGCCAAGCTGAAGGCATGCAATTCAAATCCACCAGCTGTTCTACAGGAGGAAAATGGGCAGTCTCCTCCTGTGCAATTTACTGCCTCTGAAAACCTACTTGATGGTCAACTATCAGTTGGTTCTAACTCAACAATACCTAATGACAACAAATAGGTTAACATATATAAAATTGTAAGTTGTTGTCACATGTCACTGAGTGACTGCAATTAATAGCAATCCTATGAACAACAGATCTGAACTTTGCCCTATCTTGTGCCATCCTCCTCATCTCTAATATTCTTGAGCTCATTATTACAGTCACCATGCCAATCCATCTTGTTAAGCATCTTCCTCTCCTAAGTTGACCCTCCACTCTTCGAAGCTTGATACCCTTCTGCAAGGTAGGACCCTCTGAACAACATGTCCAAAGTATGTGAGATGAAGCTTCGCCAACCTCCCTTCCACGGAGTATCCTGTTAGTACTTTCTCCAAAACATACTTATTTGTTCTCTTGGCAGCCCATGTGATATTCAGCACTCTTCTCCAACACCACAATTCTAAGTCATCAATTCTTCTGTTATACTTAGACACTGTTCAACCTTCACAACAAGTAATTTCATAACAAGTAATAAAAAAGACCACGGCTTGGATCAGGTGGACCTGATGTCTTTTAGCTGACATCACTGCATTTAGCACTTTAGAGAGGTCCCTTGATAGCAGGCTTTCCCAGTGCAATATTTCTTTTGCTTTTTGACAGTTGGTACCAACAGTTTTGATATAGATCCAAGTAAGAGAAAACCACTGAAAATTTTAATCTTTTCTCCCTCTATCACATTGGCCCAGTGGTGAGGATTTTAGTTTACATAAGCTTATACAGTTTAATATGTTGTTGTTTTTGGCCACCACTGAGTTGAAATCAACTCTTGCCTAACACTCCAGTGGGTTTTCTGAGGCTGTAAATTTCAGGAAGAGACTGTCCCTCTTTCTCCTTCGGAGTCACTAGAGAATTCAAACCACTAGAGAGGCTCAAAGCTTTGCGTTAGCCGTGTAACTCACTCTCTCCATATGAAATTACATATAACACACACTTTAATGAATAATAGTTTAAAATATTTATTGTTATATGTGTTTATAAACTTTGTTTTGGATTTACCAATTTTGCTATTTTATCCCCCCTTCAAAAATCTTCCTGAGATTACTAGGAAAGGCTACTAATGAAAATTTGCATGAAGCAAACATGAAATTTCCTATTTGTAACTCTCAATTGTCTTCTAACACAGACTCAACAAGAATTTCTACTGCTGGACAAAGGCAAGTAGGGTCTGCTTTGATGTGAACCTTACATGAAATTATACTCTTGCTCTCACTGCCACTGAGTTGAATTTGACTCATGGTTGACCTGTTGTTGGATTTCTGTGGCTATAAACTGTATAGGAAGAGAATGTCCCTCTGTTTTTCCTGCAAAACTGCTGGTGGATTTGAACCTCCAGAGGAGGGACTAGTCTTTGCAAAAGAACCCCAACTCTCTATAGCATACTCCCTTGAAAACAGATGGTCACAAGAATCATATAGAAAGTCATGTACATGAAAGTTGTTAGCAAATAAAATCCAGATACAAAGAGAGAAAGAGAACCTGTTTACACAGACCATTAACTCTTAAAACTCAGCCTACAGGGATGGAAAGGAAACAACAATCTCCTGATTATTACTGGACTGTTTTTCGAATACGCTCGCTCAGCTCTGAACAGCTTTGAGCACGATTCCTCAAGAATCATGGGGACTCATTCAGTTTGTTATTAACTCAAAAGTCTGAAATACTCTCTAGGGAGCCAATTATGTTGATCTGTAAATAATTTTGATCCCTACTATAGTCTGAAGGGAGCTCTGAGAACCTAGTGGTAAGGAACTGTGCTGTCCACCCAGATACAAGAGATTCGAGTCCACCGGATGCTCTGTGGGAGAATGATGAGCTATCTCCTCCCATGTGTTTACTGCCTCTAACAACCCACTGGAGGGTCAGCTATAGGTTGGTTTTGACTCGACAGTGCACACCACAACAACTGTAGCCTGAACTTGAACAATCTTGTCTGAATTAAGAAGCTAAGCATGGTCCATCTTGGTTAATACTAGAACGGAAGATTGCAGTGGAAATGCTCTGATGGTACAATCCATAGGGAGCTACGGTGCTGACCCAAAGGTGACCCTCTTTGCTGGTTAGAATTCACTTGTATCGCTGTGGGAGAAAGATGGACAGTCTCCTCCGATGTCACTTTACAGCCTCAAAAATCCCACTGGAGGGTCCACTATGAGTCAGTTCCAACTGACAACAATGAAAGAGTTGAGACTGAATCCTAGTGGCACAGTGGGAAAGCGGAAGGTCGATGGTTTGAACCCACCATCCTACTGTGGGAAAAGGATACAGAAGTCAGCTTCTGTAAAACAGCTATGGAAACTCCACGGGACAGTTCTAGTGACCCATGGAACTGAACTTGACTTGATGACAGTGGGTTTGGTTTTGGCTTTTTTTGAAACCTAGAGTTGGTTTTACTCCTTTAGGAGGAGCTTTCTTGTCTTAATTAAAAACAACAACAACAACAACAACAAAACCCCAAAACAACAACTTTGTATATTTTTGGAGATTAATTTCTTTTAAAATTTTTGAGTGTAAGTTTACAAAGCAAATCAGCTTTCCATTCATCAGCTCATACCTATTTTGTTTTGTAACACCAGTTAGGATCCCCACAACATAGTAACATTGTTTTCTCTTCGTAATTCTCATTGTCATTAATCCTCTACCCTACCATATTGTCTTCTGGGCTTTACACTTGGGCAAGTGTTGCTCTTCTGACCTCCTCTGGTTGATTATTTTAAGGAGTGAGCGGCTCCCTGGAGATAGTGCTTCCCTACAACCCTGCCTATTGTTTGGTTGAAAGCTGATCCACTAGTATGTTTTTGTTCCACGTTCAAAGGTGACTAAGGGCCATAGATTAGGCTGTTTTTGCAGGTCTTTATCTAATTAGTATGTATAGCCTTTTTTCTGCCGTTTAATGTTGCTCCACATTTCCCCTCACTCTATCCAGGAGCTTTACTGTGAGACCTTTTAGAGATGTTGGCAGCGTTAGCTGAGAACTCTCTAGTTTTTCTGGTTGTAGGGTCAAGGAGGTTGAGTTCCCATGGTCCATTAGTCCTTCTGACTAATTATGTCTACCCACCTTTGTTTTGCTTCCCTCTTCTCTGTTCTAGGGAGAGAACAATAGCTGCATCTCAGAGGGATCCTCAAAAAATTTTAAGGCCCCACAGCAAAGTGGGCTGTAGAACATTATCTTTGTGGACTATGCTATGTCTATTTACCTTGATGATATTTCCTGGGATGACCAGCAGGAATGAATCATATGTGCATATTCCTTATACAGTTTTGCTCAGATTTCGGCTTTTGGTTGTGAGTTGAGTATGTCACTGTATAAAAGTATGTATAAAAGTGTGTGCTTGAGAACACATCTTCAGAATGTTGTCTCGGTCAGTCACGGGCACCCTGGACAAAGACACATGGCGTCCACTTCACCTTTCAAGTTACACAGAAACATTCATAAGCAGAAAACCTCAGTTCAAAATCATTTCACCTTTCTGTCTGTCCAAGTAAACAGCATGATCAACTTCTACCAGCACACCATCAACTGAGAAATTTCAATGGTCCATTTTCCCTGATGAAGGTGGAGTGTTCCCTCGCTTGGTGATAACTTACCCTTTCCAGAGACTTCAGGAGGTTCTGTCTTTCTTTGAGCTTCTGAATACTGATGACAATTTTGTGTCTTGCACCTTTGGTAACATTCTGCAATTGAACAAAAGTATTAGAATGATATTTCAAGAATTGGCTTAAAAGCTCTTAGGGGCTACTTAGCATGGTCCTGCTCTCCTTGCTCCCTCATATTCACTTCGTAAATATCCACTCATCTCTCCCTTTCATACTCACTGTCATAAACCTCATCTTATGAACTATTCCAACTCCAGATGACTACATCTTCACCTGTATCTGTTGGCTGTGACCTTTAACAAGACAAAGAGTAATAAAGAACAGCGAATTACCTCACCACACAGAAAATGCCTTCATAGTCATAAAAGATAAAGTTTAAGTCATATATTTGCTCTCTTCTCCAGGTTTTACAACGTCTATTGCTCTCAGTTTCCCAGAAGAGTCCAAGTGCAGGTAGCCCCTCCACTGCTTTCTCAAACCCCTGCCCTTTATTAGCCCATCTTGAGAAGCTGTAAAGTTAAGTGTTATCCTTATCTAGTGTCATATAACACAGGGCAATTTTTTATCCATTCACAACTCCCCTGCAGTCTTCACAAGGAAAACCAGATTGGAAAAGAATTCAAACTTCAGTCATTACTTCAGGCAAATGATTAGAATTCACAGAGCTGTGGATCTTTCTTCTAATATGTGCAGCAACAGCAGGCCCAAGAATGAGTTAAGGACTTGATGATTAGAGACACAACAAATTTCCAAATAAAGAGTCCTTTCACAAATCAGGTCTCTAATACAAACTTCTGGTGATTTACTGCAATTAGCCCACAGAATTCCTTCTAAAATGGCAATGGATGGGCACAACACTGACTTCTCATTCACTGAGAAACATTAATAAGATTCATGTGACTTCTTTAAGACGAAGCACTGGGGACGAAGTTTCTTTTTAGCTTTGACTTTGGGTTCAAGTGAACTCAAAGGATTCTGAAACGTTTGAGCTGGTCTCTGGCATTGCCTTCGGTGTCAATTTTTTTTCTTGTTTTTTCTCTAGTTGAACAACTGATGACTTAGACTTTTCCCCTCAACTTTGACCCAAGCACAAAAATGCTCTTAGAACAAATTCTCATTAATCTCCGGGACCTCAAGAAGTAATCACCGTCCAGAAAGCAGGGGGAGAAGTACTAGGAAGTTGAAATTAGTGCCTTTCATTCTCTAAGAATGTGCAGTGACTTTGAGCTTTGTCTCCTGTCTCAATACTGGTATTCAGCCAGGCCAACAGAGGTTAACTGAGGGTACGGAATAGGCGACGGGGAAACCAGGGATCTGCTGAGAGGTATGATTCCAGACCAACTATGCCCCAGATGGGACAATCTCCTCTTCCTGTAAGGGAAATATTATTAGCCCATTCAGACCATTAACTCTTTTAAATCATTTCTCAAAGGAAACTGAAGTCAATTTGAAACATGCAAATAGCATTTTAAGCAGAGGAAACAAAAAACATCTGACAGCTCTATTTTCTTGAGCACAGCATGGTAGGAAACATGCTTAGTTTCAAGGGTTTCATTGACTGGCCCTTGGCATCCACACTTGGGGAGAGATGCCTTAGAACTAAAAAGGATCTCTCTTTTTTTGGTGTCAAACAGAAAAGAAAATGAAATCTGAGATTTGGAGAAATTCCATTTTTGAGACTGTTCCATGCTATTAGACATGTTTCAGAGAATAAAGATATTGTATGCAATTTACTCTAATTTCAATCAACATCATATCTTAATATGCTTTTGGAAACATGCTGGGACAGACCTGAGACATGATCTGGTTCTTTTACTCAACAATCTGGTTAGAAGTTAATTTAACTGTAACCAGACCAGATAATAAGACAATCTGTTATTCTTCTAGTTGGGTGGGCAGGGGGAGGAGCAAGGTGAGCCAAAGTAGGGATATCTGATGCTTTTGAGGCCTTGGTCAAGAGTTAGCTCTTCTAGAAGATGCTATTTATTTCTGTCTAGTCTCCAAGGGTTTACAGTGTTGTTGTTGTTATGTGCCATTTAGTCGCCTACGACTCAAAGTGACCCTATGTTCAACAGCCCTAAACCTTGCTCTATTCTATGCCAATCTTATTGTCTCTGAAACACCTACCCCCATAATTCCAGTCACTGAATCATTCCATCTCATTGATGGTCTTCCTCACTTGTGCTGTCCCTCCACCCTTGGAAGCATGAAGTCCCTCTCCAAGGACTGACGGTCGCTCCTTTCAACAGTTTTAGTATGTCAGATGAAGCTTCAGAATCCTTGTCTCCAAGGAGCAGCCTGGTTTCACCCTCTCTAGGATGAGCCTGTTTTTTCTCTTAGCAGTCCATGGGATAGTCCGTATGCTTCTCCAGCACCACAGTTCAAAGTCATCAACTCTCCTTCTATTATCTCTAGTCACTGTGCAGCTCACTGATGCATAGCAAGTAATGGCAAAGACTATGGCCTGTATCAGGCACACCTTAGTCTCCAGACTGACATTATTGCTCTTCATTACTTTGGAGAGGTCTCTGACAGCAGAATTTCCTAATGTAATTCGTCTTTTAATTTCCTGGCTGCTGGTGCCAAGAGTGGTGATTGTGGAGCCAAGCAAACAAAAACTGTTAACAACTGCAATCTCTTCGCCATCTATCGTGTTGTTCCCAAATGGCCCCAGTGGCGAGAATCTTTGTTTTCTTGTCATAACACTTTGTCACATCCTCACTTATCCTACTGCTATCTGCTCATCTTCCCTCTCCTACAGGATCCTGAAGGTGAGAAATCACCCTTCCCAATTAATCCTGGCTAGCACCTGAAAGTTCCTAGAACACAGCATGCTATGCTGAGTGAGGCTCAAACAAGGTCTGTCCAGGACTTTAACTTCATGTTCACCGGGAGCACCCTCTCAGGGAACAGTCACCTCACACACATACCTGAGCCTCCAGCTGGCACTCAGTGAGGGCCATCATTTCCTCATAGGTCATCTGGGAGAAAAGCGCGGCATACTTGTGCAGGCGAAGGCTTTTCAACCAGGCTGGAACATCTGTGGTGCAAGATGTGCAAGAGATGGAGAGAGATATTGAGAGGGAACAAGAAGAGATGATGAAAGATGCAAGGATAGAGAAAGAAAAAGAGGATGATGGTCAGAGAAAAAGGAAAAAGAAAAAAATCTTCACGTTACTATACATGTTTAATTTTGACAGTAAATTATAGAAGTCTGAGTCTACCCTGATAGTTTACTATTGGAATCCTTCATTCTATTTTACCACTTCTGCTTTAGACACAAGTTGCTACCTAAGCGTTCCGTGGGCTTCAGCACATATAAGAATCCCCTAAAATGACATTTCAATTTGCAAATGCATGTGGTGTTTTCTGGGTAGGACGCTGTTTGTAGCTTCTACAAAACTATCAAAGGGATGCCACTGACTAAAGAAATATCAAGGAATCGCTGCTTTAGCTGGGCAACTTTATTACTGATTTAGAAAGAACTGACTTAGAATGATAATGTTATACTTGATAAGCCTACACCTCAAGATCCTTTTTTTCTAGGTTCAATGCAGACTGGTTTTCCTCACTTCAATGAAAACAAGGTAACAGTAGTGGCTCCTGGAGGGAGTCACAGTAATGCCTGATCTGGCCTTTTTTTCTGCCTCCCTGTGTCTTACTAAGCATCTTCAACTCCAAAACCAATCTAGTGGAGTGTGTCAGCTGACCATCTCATCAAATGACTGTTTCCTTGAATTCTAACCAAAAATAGTCAAAGATATTCAAGGATAATTGGAATTTCAAAGCACATCTGAAATATGACCAATGGGATTCTAGAGTGAAGACAAACAGTAATGATTAGCCATTCACTTACTAAGTAAACTGGAGAAATTTTTACCTTATTAAATATAACCAACAGAAAAGATTTTTCCATATTATTTCACATTAAAAACTTTCAAGGTGTTAGGATCTTTAAGAAATCTCCCAATTCCTCTTTCTTCACCCTTGTCTCATTTTATATATGGAAAGACCAAGTCACCGTGTTGACATTAGATAAAGTATTTGATAAAATAGGCCTATAATCCAGGTCTCCTGATTCTCAACTTTTCCTAGAGTGTGTCAGCTTCTTACAGAGTAAAGATCAAGTAAACCATTAGTTGGAGGGCATGAATAAGCAGTGACTGTAAAGTACTTTGAAGAGCTTGGGTAATTTGCCTTGGTTAAATGCTATTCATAAGATATTATCCATGACTAACCATGCTGATTGCTAGATATTGTCCACTGGTAAGTGCTTTATTATGAGGTATTGACAGGGAACACAAACACTTCAAAATAAGTAGGAATTTTTCAATCTTCCAAAACTTACAGCAGCTAATTAGATTGATAAAGAGGGTGAGTTTGTCTCCTGGGAAAGCAAAACCTAGGTTTAGAGAATGTGAACTTGGGATAATGTCCTGAAGTGCAAAGATAGAGGAGTGGGCATGGTAAGATTGGTTCTTGATTTGCTGTAACAAGAAAATTAAAGAAGAAAAACCTTGGGAGAAATAAAATTCTATCATCAACGGCATTTTAACTCATCTCAGGTAAGCAACGCTTGATTCTGTGCTGGTAAGCCTGACCGACCTTCTGTAACAAGTGAGAGTCCCTTACAGCATCATCCTTAAACACAAAGTTGGTTCATTAAAACATTAAACACAATTTACCAACCCCTCACACATCCTCCTTCAACTCAAACTGGTTGGAACTCAAAACGGGACACACGAGCTCAGGAACCTGGTGCAGCCTATCCTGTGTCATCTAGGAGCTATTTTACCAGATTTGATTCTCCATCTTTGTCTTTGTTGCTTGTGGAAACAATGGTAATGTTTCTGCAAAGTGAGTGGTAATGAACTTAATGAAAACGTTGGCTTTCAGGTCGACCACCTAGTTCTGCTTTGCAACCAAGTTTCATAGTTTTTGTTCATTACCTTTGGAAAGCATCACACAAATGAATAGTCACGTTTCAGAGAAAAGCTAGTAACTCAGTGCCACAAATGAATACAATGCATCATAAAAAGGGTATGAAGCAATCTCATAGGCCATCATGAGAAAATTCACTGATAGAGTATACAGGATCCTGAGCTACTGAGCTGTGCTGCAAAGTGGGTGTTTTATAAGTCAAATTGAGAAGATAGGGTTTTAAGTCACGAAGAATGGGGTGAAAAATCTCATCTTGACAAGTCTCTGTTCAATCACTGCTAGGGCCTTTCTATATAACTATTTTGATAACTAGAATTCCCTGGTTGAAGGGAAGGAAGAATCTGCCGACCCACTTAATCAAAATGCAGGTCACTGAGAATCATTTTCCTAGAAAATGCTTCCACACAACTTCAGAATATGACTGGGTGGGGCTTCTTGAGCTTATTTCTGGATGTGTGTCTGGGGAATGAAAGCTCTTTGTGGTTAGATATTTCTTAGGTCAGGAAAGTATTGACTCTGCCTTTTGAGGAAGCATCTTGGCGCCTAGTTTAGTTCCATGTGCTTAAAGAGCTTTCCTTCCTCCAGCATTAATTGAAGAAGAAAGAAGAGGTAATCCTAGTTCTTAAGAACTTGGCCTACTAACCTTTCACCTACTGGTTGGCTGTGAGGCACCTTTCAATGCCAGGAATTAAAACAAAAGTATTAAAATGGTGGAGAAAAAAAAACACCCAGAGAACTAACTGAAAGCCTTGGCCATTTCTCTGTCCAAACCAGAAACCCCAACAACATGGATGTTAGATTCGTTAAGATGCAGCCAGGGATGAGCTCATGTCTTTCCAATGGTCCAGAAGCTTCACTGTTAAAATACAATGCTAAGAACTACCTAACATAATCTCAGAACTTTGTTTTGGTCCTTCCGCTGAGCTGTAGCTGTGGTTGAGAGACAAAGAGAAAACAGAGAAGAAGAAAAAGAGTGTTTCCGAAGACCTAATTCATGACTGAAGGCACTCACTCGTGCCTCCTGGGCTTCAACTTCTAGCTGGTGCAGAACTGTTTCACTTTATCTGCTTCTGACAGACAAGCTAATGCAGAGAACCAGATTCAAAATTCTTTCTGCTTTTTGTAATGTAAGAGACAGATGTGACTGTTATATACACTAGGTTGTTTTCCTTGCCATGTGTGGGCTTCCTGATGCTCATACACATGCCACTGCCATTTAGGGGACTGTTAATCCAGAGGGAATGGCAGATTCACACAAAATTATATTAGTTGGAGAACAAGTGTTAAGCATACTCAAAGTATACCTCAAGTGTGCTTTATGGAATGAGGAATAACACTGAATTAGTAGCAGTCCTTGAATCTGCTGGTCAAACCATACTGAGGAAATCACCTAGCATAGGAGAACAGCATTTTTATTATGTACAGAGCTAAGAGAACATTTAGGGCAGTGCAAACATTTGGGTGAATCATGGAGAACTAGTAGAGAAAAGGTGGGGCAAATGAGTAGGAGCTCGGATGACAGATGTTTAATATAGTAACAGAGATTAGACTTCATGTTATGCATGATGAGAAACTTGAATTCTGAGAAGCAGAGAGTCACAGCAATATTTATGTGTAAGAAAAGGGATAGATGTCAATGTCAAGGCTGGAGTGAAGGTCAGTGAGTGTGCAAGACAGGAGATGAAGCCAAGAAGTCCTGGAAGTTGGTCTGGGATGGCAGTGGCAACGGAGAAGAAAATGATGGAAATTGATAGTACTAGCTAGTTCCTGAACAGGAAAGAGGAGACAGAGGAAAAGAGCCTAGGGTAAAGTCTTTGTTTCAGGTTTGGTGAGATAGAAAACACAGGGTAGAAGTTTAGAATGAGAAAAGTTCCATTTTAGATCAGCTGAGCCTAACTCCTTCTATCCCAAGATCTTCAGGAAGGGATCTTGGCTAGAAATACAAGTATTCTTGTCTCGTGGCAGTTATTTTAGCTGTGAGAGTGGATGAGAGCACTCTGGAGTCAGGAGAGTACAAAGGTGAAGCCCTGGAGAATGCCAAACTTTTTAGAAGAAAAGCCCAGGGAGTAAATGGAAAATGGGCGATCAAGGGGCAGGAGGGTTTGGGAAGACAACATCCCATCCCACCGTCAGCTTCTGCATCCTCTATAAAACTTCTTCTAAAGCCTCAAGATGGTAATTTATAATAACAGTAAGGGCAAACCTATCACCATTGTAAATAGCTTTCTATTTACTTGTTCATCTACCAATAGCAAAATTTCCAAATATGCCAATTTTACTGTCTTTTCAGAGTTTGAGTAAACCACACAGAGGAGATGCACGATCTATATAAAGGCTCATGCAGAAGTGGAGCTCCAAGGAGAACCTGGGCTACTTGTCTCTGATCTCTGCTGCAGGGATGGCAGGAACAGCAGGAAGAGATGCAGCATCCTATGCACAAATGAAGAAGCCTCGCAAAAAGAAAGATGAAGCCAACATGGCTGAGGGATCCTTCCAAGATACAAATGCTTCCTTGCTTTAGGATGAAAGTCAACCATGAAATGAGAAAGTATCAATGCTTCACTGCTGAAGTGGGAAAGAAAATGTTGCTTTCCAAAATGAAGAGCAGAAGCTTATCAACTCATCAAGGCCACTGAAGCCTCATTTCTGGGCAGAGGAGAATGGGCAGCATAGTTCTGCTCCAGCCTCTTAGCAAAAGAAAGAGCCCTGGGTCTTTAGCTTCCACGGACCCTTTAGCTGGACCCTCCTGAGCATACTCCTTAATGCTGTATGTGTCCTTGGGGGCCTCCAGGCGAGTCCATGCTGGTGGGGAGCCATTTATGAGTCTCAGAAGGCAGAGAGAGATTATCTAGTTTGTGGTGAAAAACCTAGTGAGAAGGGCTACATATCTATATTTCTTCTTGCTTATTCACACCTGCCATGACATCCATAAGCGGTATTCTATAAGAAGTCTGCTTTACATCATTGTAAATGGTTGTGATCAACACCCAGAGGTGCCCTCGTGTGCCTGCACAGTCCTGAAGGCGCTGCAGGTGAAGATACAAGTTTGGCAGGAGATGGAGGTTAAGTCTAACAGTCTCATGATCATTAGATTAGAAT